GAGACCCTGAAACACGCGCCACCTATCTTTGTGGGGAGGGATAATTGAAGAGCCCTGAGCGTGAGCATCATGTGAAAACGTGATCGCCAAGTTTCTCTCTGGGAAAGGATCTGGGATAGATTATACCTTGAAGTCTCCGCAAACGCTTTAGTGGAAGAAATGAAATTCCACCTCCCTCCCTTCCTCTCTCTCTCCCTCCCTCCCTTCTCCACGCCCCCCCCGCCCTCCCCCCCCACCCCGTCAAGCCTTTGGCATCATTATCCTCATCACTAAATCCTGCAGAGTACTGGGCGGAAAACGGTGCACACCATTCACAGAACTGGAGAACTCCGAGGGGCGAAAGTTAAAGGGAAAGATCTCGAGTCTTCCATGCAGATCTCTTTTCTTATACAGATATTTCTGGTGACTAGGCTTGAGGTGCACATCAAGTTGTATGGATACCTCAAGCACCGTTTTTGGAACTAAATGCTTGTCCTTTCTCTTATTACATTTTTTTTTTAAGATGCCAGATCTAGGGGAGGAAAATGCTTCTTGTGCACTGCATCTTAGAATCTCTCTCTCTCTCTCTCTCTCTCTCTCTCTCTCTCTTTCTCTCTCTCTCTCTCTTTTTCTGTGTGTGTGTGTTTGAGAGAGAGAGAGAGAGAGAGAGAGAGAGAGAGAGAGAGAGAGAGAATGAGATTGATTTCTGGATTGGATCCCTATATTAAAAGTACTTTGGCATTTTAATAAAGGGTCTCTAGATTAACATAGAGCTGCACTATGTTGGCCAATCTCTGGATCTCTCTACACCCCATGCAGACCACACTACAAAGTGAGGGGTCAGGGACAGGAGGAAGGAGGAGAAAGGCCAGAGGAGCTTAGGACGAAAGAAAGACAAGGGTGACATTAAACTGTGTGGGGTCTAAGTTTTGAACTGCATATTTTTTGATATTGCAATTAAAGTAAAATTAAAAAGAAAAGACTCCACCTTTGCTCTGAAGGGATTGGTTATGCAAATATGGAAGGGATTTCCTGGAGAATACAGCTTTCTACTGTATGGTTAATTAAATAATCACTCAAAAGCTTCCAACGTGACGCTTCTGTCGTAATCCAATCAGGTTACATAGGTCCTAAACAAGAAAGATATTTTCCACATCTGGAAGTCAGCAATTTAGCAAGTACTGCACATTATTAACCAATTCAGAGCCCACTTCCCAGGGGAATTTTTTTGAAGTTTAAGTGTTCTTAACCAATGCTCTGCTGTTTTGTTAATCAAAAAGCTGGTTTACACTGCACATAATTGGAACTAATATAGAAGTAAATAAAGACAGCCAAGTTTGAGGATGCTCTGTATTTATAGAAAAGGAAGAAACTGTTTTGCCTCAACAGTTAAGGCTTAATTTCTTAAAATACTAAGAGACCCCCTCCCCAATTATTTTAAATAGTGAAAGTATTTAAGAACCTGAGAGCACAGATAAATGCCCAATCCCACAGTGTGTAGATTCCCATGTAAAGGAAAAGGTGGGGGTTTGAAGAGGGCCAAACAGCTGCCTCTTATCAGTTTTTCTGCTTTAATACTGTCAAATATGTCATAGTCCCCTGTTTTCAGTCTGAAGGAACCTGAAACAAATAATACCCTGATCCAACACTAGACTTTTACTCATATTAAGATAAACTGCTTTGAACTGTGCTTTGAATGTGTGCCTACAGCAAGACTTTGAATACAAGAGTCACTGGCGATTGCACTCAAAGGAGGGGAAAGCCACCACAGGGGCTGCCACATCCACACTCCCAGAGCTACAGGGCTTTGTATTTTGCATGTTTATTTTTCAGTGGTGGTGGTGGGGGGAGGGTAATAGCCACCCAGCATGACCACAGCTAGATTTCATTCTAGGGTGCAAGAAAGCGGATTTTCACAGTTGGTTACACACTCTCCTCTTTCCTAATTTGAGCATTTACAATGAGAAGGATTGGATAAATTAATTTCTCCACTGCCCCCATCCCAGATAGAGTACCTATAGATACATGATCTATATGTTGCAGAGATTTGCAGTCGAAAAATTATTGATAAAGAAAAAGATTTCAACACGGGTCAAACACATTCGTGCCATATTTAACATTTCTCATACTATCGTGTATCTGTACTAAATATATGTAAGACTTACCAAGTTTCCTCCTATAAGATTTATCACTACTGTTCATATCCTTTTCCCTTCTGCCTCTTTCCTTAAAAAAAAAAAATCAGAGACCAGCTTTCTTCCAAAGTATGCTGTTAAGCCTCCCTTGAAGGAATAAGGAGTCTTTTTTACGGAGTGACTACTGGCAAGACCCTTCTGCAGGCACCCAGGTAGCCCCTGGACGTTTTTAGCCCAGACACTTCAGTGAAAAGGCACAATGTGACTATATGGCAAGTCGAATAAATAGCTAACAAGCCTTTATCATGGATATAAAATATCTTCTTACTTCAGATCTGACAAAATAGACCATTAACTATTTCAATTAAAAACACCTAATTATCTGATTACCTTAGACTCAGTCATCGTTCCAGGGCCAGGAGGCCGCCGCCTAATAGTTAGCACTGAGTTTCGACATGTTTTCCCATATATTGATATGGGAAAAAAGAGATCAAAACAAAACAAAACCAACTTCAATTTTCTAGGTTCACATGAAGGTGGATGTTTGGGTGGTGGTACAGGAAAGACCGCGAGGGCTGAGAGCGGGACTAGGTTGCCCACTGCCCTTGCCTGGCACGCCCCTCCCCAAGCTTCTGACCGAGAGAGTGTTCCCACCGTCGCAGAGGCAGTAGGATCAGAGGAAGCTGGAATTTAAATTTGTTCGGAACACTCCCTCAGTTCCAGGGCCAGGTCAGGGACAATGGGGACCGTGGGATCCACATAATACAGGAGCGCAGGATGAAAAGTCCAGAGGGGACCAGGGACGGGTCTGAGGCTCCTCACGCAGCAAAACAAGTCCAGCGAAGGAGGACTAGCTCCTTTTTGGACTGTTTTCCCGTTAATAATCCACTTCGAGATTAGCGCAGGCGAAGGGGATTAAAACAACAGATACATGCAAATGTGAAATAATATTGACATCGACATTGGAGGGGGAAATAATTCTTGAGGGTTTCCTTGGCTAAAGCCAACTGCTCCCCTTAAGACTCCCCCCCTAGGCCCCCGGCAGGGTGAGGAGGACACCCTTTTGTTTTCCAATTCCCGGCAGCGGGACCCAGAGCCTGTCCCCCCATTCACCTCTCAGTCTGTCAATTTCCTTAACTTTCACAGCCGCTCCCCACCCCCACTCCTCCTGCTGGCCCAGAGGCCCGAAGAGGTACTTTTCTGCCCTTGAACACACAAGCTGAAGAAAGAATTCGAATTTGGCCACAGCTAATGATTTTTTTCTTTAAAGCAAATTGTGTTTATTTTTTACCATGTGGGGAAAATAATAAAGAGAGAGAGAGAGAGAGAGAGAGAGAGAGAGAGAGAGAGAGAGAGACTGACTCTTTTCTGGTTTAGAAATGGAGTTGATCTTTCATCTAAGGGAATTATTTCAATCCTGTATTGCTATGCAGGACGTGGCTAACTTCGTTTGGAGTTGCGAGCAAAGGCTGATACCAGGGACCCCTGGATTAGGTGTGTGAGGGCACGGCGGGGTCTGAGCAAAGCCAAACGGTTTTCTCACGTGCAAACTCGCAATCCAATCCATTCGGAGTTGAGCCTAGGATAGGAGGGGAAAGCCTATTTAAAAAAAAAAAAAATCGGGAGCATCTCAGAGCCCTTTCAAAGAAAACTAAAACAGGACCCGAGAGCTCGCGACGGTCCCTCACCTCCCCGCTGCGAGACCCGCAGGGCTGTGGAATCTCGCACGTCACCTGGCCCCAGCGGGGCGGCCAGCTGAGGATTTTATTTTCCTATTTTATTTGAAGTAAAGGCTTCATCTCGGCTTTGGGGTGTTTGCCAACGTCTCTACTGACAGGAACCAGCAAACTTCAGGACTCAAATGAGCATCTTAATTTATTGATGCAAAGCAGGTCTGCTCGCAGATCCCCATCCCCGGCGCTCTCCCCGCCAACCCCCCTACCCACCCCCGCGAACTTCGCTCCCTCTGTTGGTCCCGGAGCACGTGGGGGGGGGGGGGATCGGCGATCCGCATCCCCCTCTCTGCACACACCCGACCCCGCCCTGGCACCGCGCGACCCCCGCCCCGCTCCCGGTCAGCTGACCTGGCTCGCCGGCCTGCTCCCCGCCCGCCGCCCTGTTTCCGGTCCCCCGGGTCCGCGAGCCCCGCTCCGCGAGGAAGCCGCGGCGGCCGGGAGGTGATGCAGGGGGCTGATTATCATGAGAAAGGCTGTGCCTGGAAAAGCCTCCTCCACGCGACTGTCAGTCTCACAAAAGGGGGGTGGTGGTGGTGGTGGAAGAAAAGGGGCTCTGGAGGAGTCACCAGAAAACTTGCAGCAAGTTAGATGCGACGCAGGCCCGAGGAGGTGGCTTTCGCCTCAACTTGGAAGGCTGGGCATTAAGGGTGCGGACGCCAACAGCCTCGCCTGGGGATTGGAAACTCAAATCTCCCTCCTCCCTTTCCTCTTGCCTTCCTTTCAGTCCTCCATGCCCTTTATCCAGATTTTCTTGCAATTCTGTCGTAACTGCATTTTCTACATTCTCGTTTCTTTCTATATTTCTTTTGCAATCTCGTCCCCCCCCCCCCATTTACCTTCTTTGTAAAAATCTTTTGGTGCCTACTTTATATGTCCAGATTTATCAGTTCGTTTTCAAAACAGTGTTTAAAATGCAATTAATCTACCAGCAGGAGGTCAGGGACACCCTGACTAAAATAACTCCTGGGTCTTAAGAGACAAGTTCACCAGGTGTCAGGAAAAAGTAAAATAATAATGAAAATAAATGGGTATCTCAGTGACTATAACAGCTTGTTACTCTCTATTATTATATCAGCTCTCACAGACTTCTTTTTTTAAAAAAGTATATAATCTTTCTGGAAAAATACAAAAGTATTTGACAAGGAGAATCATTATAATTAAGGCAATATGCAAATTGTTCGTACTTATAAATAAATTATTTTAATCATGCTTATCAGACTTTAGAAATTATAGTAGGTAAATTCAAGAAACAAACTGGTTTCTCTTCTCATGATTATTAGAAAGTGTAAAAAAAGAGAAAACCTCCCAAAGCTGTCTGTCTACCCCTCCCAACATAGACTGATCAATTCAGGGAGAAGCAGCCTGTTCTGCGTTCTGTTTAATTGCTAAGCAGATCCACAACTTGAGTATGTGGCTTGTTTTCCTGGCCAGGTTGCTGTCCATTTCCTAGCAGGTGAGTGAGCACGAGGCTTCTTGCGTATGTCACTAGTTGGCTATACTTACTATTTTCATGATGGTTACAGTTACTGCTCTTCCCTACAGGTTGAATGCATTTGTAGTTCTCCTATGAAAAATCAGAGCTTACTCTTGTTTATGTTTGTTTACTTCCTTGAATTTTTAAAACTTGTTACAAGTCAATTGAACATGTACATTAAGCCCTTTTTTTTTAGGCCAAGAAAAATAAAGATGCATTAGAAAGATGCCTTTTAAGCTTCATAATTATTAATTGACATTTTATGATGAATAATTAATCATCTGAATAATTTTGGTATCTCTGATCTGAACACATATTTGCATATCTAATGCTTGATTTTTTTAAATGTGTTTTTTTAAGATTCATTCTTTCAGGACAAAGAAATAATATTTTAAAATGTAAAATTTCTGCACTTGTAAAAGTTTGTTATGCTATTATATTCTTTCTAGAAATCCATAAAACTTCTTAACAATTTGTAAACCATTTATGTTGCAAGCACATTGAAACACATGGCAGCTGTACAATTAGAAAAACGATCTCTATGTGAAATCAAGTAACTGTTCTTCCTAAATTCAGATCCGTGTGCTAATTATGCACCATATATCCTTACTGAAATGTGGCCACTGAACTTCTTGGTGAGTTACTATGGCAGAAGCAGACATATGGGGAGGCATTTGACAGACAATTCAAGTTTGATATTTAGATAAGTTTTCATTTTTTACTTATTAATATGTAGGCTGCTTGAAGTTATTTAAAAAAATGATTAAGCAAGTCTGTCCATGTTATTTTTATGATGCTGAAGTTCGAATGTCTATGTAATTATTCTTTTTGTGATCGCAAGCAATCTACTCTAAACTTGTTTATCTCCAGTGGGTGCACTAGCGGCACCTATCCCTCAGGGTGTTGTTCGGAATGTACTGAAGTAATACATCAAGTTTTGCTGTGTTCTAGTTTATTATAATGAAAATTTGGACAAACAGCATTGAACATCCAGGCCAGATAAAGCTAGTACCAAGTAGTTTTGAATATGGTAGGATTTATCATTATTTATGATTTTCTAAGACTGTCCAAAGGATGCCTAACCACCAAAGTACAAATAAATGCAGCATTTTCTTTCTGCTAATTCAGCAGTTAATTTATTATATTCAATGTGGTCCTAATTTGGTTATAAATATCAGATTCCTTTGAAAAGGAATTTAGTCCAAATGTCTGAATGTGAAGTTTCCTGTGTTCTGTAATCACACACTGTCTTTCAGTTTAAAGGTTAAATGTGCAAAAGCCCAGAAGCGATCTTAAGTAAGAGTCCGGAATAAAAGGAGACAAACTCACAAATTTGGAGACAAGGCTTTGCTTTAAGATCACTCTCTCTGAGGTGAGCATTCCCCTTAGTTATTGGGGCCCAAGCTTTATGATTAGCTCTGGCATCTACAGTGGGGACGAAAGTCAGTTTATTAACTGGAGAATGAATCCTCCTAGTCTCTTAAATGTCCACAAGGCCAGAGTTTCTTTTTGATGGAAAGCTGAAAAATCAATGCCAATCCTGGACGGAAAGTCCTTCAATATTTAGTCAGAACACTGAAGGCTTTTTGCTGTCTTTTAAGACCTGTAGGAGCATTTATAATTATTTGTAGTTCTTGAAGGGTCCTTTAATTGTCTCCTTTCTTAAAGGATCCATTCTATATTCCTCGAAGGTTAAACATACTGCAGGGAATCTGTGAAACTGGCTTAGGGGTCTGGAGTGACCCTTACCGTTCTGTTTTCCACCTGCTAATGGGATTACAAACGGCTTGCACCTACAAATTGTCTAATTTGTTTTATATTCCTCTGAGGTCTTCTTTAACCCTCTGTAATTTGCCTAAAGTTCAGAATTATAAACGTTGGACTGGAGGCTGATGACGTGCTTGGGCCAAGGCCTGTAAGCATGGGCTCAGCCCTCAGGACCCAGTGGTGGCAGTTGGGAACTGACTCCTCCTCCGAGTCATCCTCTGACCTCCATGTGTGCACCATCACGTGTGCATCATGGCGTGTGCACCCACAACAGAAACACAATAGCACAATTTAATAAATAAGTGTAATAAAATAATTTTAAACTTTGTGCTATATTTGGTTCTGATTTTACACCATTCTAAGGATTGGCAGAGGCCATGGTAATCTTCAGTGTAAAGAAAGCTGTTTCTCTGGAGTTGATACAAGGCTAAATCATCTCACATATCATTTAATTCTGGCAGAAGATCCAAAGGAATTAACCTTACATAGCACATTATCAAGAGACTGTGGGTTTGGGAGAATCAATGACTTACCCAGAATTTAAGCATCTGGCTGTGCATGGGTCTTTCAGTTGGCTAAGTCTACCATCAAAGCCAAAGCTACACTTATGGGACAACCAATGTGGTCTTTCAAGGATTCCTTCTGATTCATCTGTAACCAGCATTTATGGACTCATTCTAACTCACCTCCAGTCTTCCTGGACGCTGTACTTGGCCCTTGGGTTTCGTGCTTTACTTTCCCTTCTAGATCAACATTGATGCTCACCATTTCTTTTCAGTTACAGTTCAAGTTTTTGAATGCTTTCTCTGCCTTTGGTGCCTCAGACTTTCAGAGTGTGTTTCTTGACCCAGCTCTCTTTGTCAGGTCGCCCATTCAGGAGAGCTGAGCGCAATCCCCTTTGTGGGGACTGCCGTCCTGGCCTAAGCACCCAGCTTATGTATCACATTGATTAATGACAGAGACATCATCCCCCACACATCACAGAATAGCTTTGATTCTTTCTGTGACTTCCTTTGACACGCTTGAGTTGTGCTTGAGCATTGTTGTAGTGTATACATTAGCTTATTTTAATTATCCTTGGTAATAACACAGTGTGCTGGCTAAGTTTTATGGCAACGTGACATAAGCCACAGTTATCTGAAAGGAAAGAACTTCAATTGCAAGGATGCCTCCCTGAGATCTGACTGTAAGGCATTTTCTTAGTGATCAGTGTGGGAGAGTCCATGATGGGCAGTACCATCTTTGGTGGGCTGGTGGTCCTCGATTTATACAAAAGTAGGTTGAGCAGTCATGCTGAGCAGGCCAAGAAAGCAGCACCTGTCAATGGTCTCTGCATCACCTCCTGCCTCCAGATTCCTGTCCAATCTGAATTCCAATCCTGACTGCCTTCCATGAAGAACAGTGATATGGAAGTGTAAGCCAAATAAACCCTTTCATCCCCAAGTCGCTTGGTCATGGTGTTTCATGACAGCAGTAGTAACCCTAACTAGGGCACATAGCATAGTTTCAAATATACGTGTTTTGAAATTACATAGACTAAATTTAATTCCTTGCTTTGTGAGAATTAATCTTGTCTTGAGAAGATATTGTTTAACCCCTTGAACATCAGTTTAGAAATGAATAAAGAATATGTAGATTCTAGCTGATTGTTACAGAAAATTATGGCAACCTATGAAATGTCACATTAGGTAGACATGCTGGTGAATACCATCTGTGGGTAACCTGGAAGATATATGGTTAAATTATGAAAAACCAGGGTGAGCATCATTTTAGGTGATGCTTACTTGATTTCCTTTTTTTTTTTTTGGTAATGACTTCATTATTTTTATTTGTTTTACTGATTTTATTAGGAATTATTTAATTGGTTCTTGTATCCTAAAAAGATTAATGTTTACTGACAATAATGTCAAAGCATAATCGGCTTATAGGAGTTTTAAATTCATAATAGAAAGAGTGGGGTGCTCATGATGATGAACCCCATGATACTAACAGCAGCGGTGGTACAAAACTATTTGTAAGCCATACCAGCTGGCTCAGGCCATAGTCTCAGCATTCAGAAGGCTGAGGCAGGAAGACCACTCGTTTAAGGCCTGCCTGGGCAACTTAGTGAGATCCCATTGTAAAATCAAAAGTAAAAAGGAGTTGGTGCTATAGGTCAAGGTTATGTACGGCTCTCATTCAACATGCATGAAGTCCTGAGTTCAACCCCTAGTAGCACAAAATAATACTTTTCAAAATGAAAACAAATAGCATCTGGTTCTGTAGTTCACATTTCCACTTGCATGGTAAGGAGCACATTTGTACCTAATTCTTCATGTGTACCCCACCCTAAGGAGAAGCACCCTTCCAAACAATGTTCACTGGTCAAAGAGTGCCAGCCAGGTCAAGGCAAAAAGAGGGTCTCTTGGGACAATTTCTACAGCTGGATGGAATTGGGAGAGGCCGAGGGACAGACTAGATGGGAGAAAGCTGGCCTGCATTGTCTTTTTCTCCAGGTTGAGAGCTGAAAAATCTGCTTTCAAAAAAAAAAAAAAAAGTGAGACCACGTGCATAACAGTTTTTAACAGTTTTTGCTTCTTTCTCCTGCTGCATATTTGGAGTCTGGTTGTGTCAGCGAGCCCTGGCATGATCTACTGTGTATATGACTTTTCTACCCTGTGCCCTAGAAAGAAGAGTGTCAAGGGAGGCCTGGCTGTGGACACAGGGAACATATTGTTGCTGTGCTTCTGCTACAGTGAAAACCAGGCTCCTTTCTCTGAAACTAACTTAGCTACACATGCAAAAAAAAAAAAAGCTATTCTGATTATTTTTTTCCTGGCCCACTGTAGAACCACAAGTAAGGCTTCTGTGGCAAAGGGGCAATTTTTCTGGGTTGAGGGAAACTGGCTTACCTATTGTTCTTGGCATAAAGATAGGGCCACTCTTCGAGACTAGGGAGACAGAACAAAATGGAAACTTCACAAAACATATTTAGTCTTTTAAAACAAAGAAATAGCAATTTTTTTTCTTTTAAAACCTTCTTCATTTGTGTGCTCAGAGGTTGGGATCTCAGTGTAGGGAAATCGTCGCAGCCCTGACTGTCTTGTCGCCTACTATCAGTGTGCTTTTAGTGCGGTGTGGAAAACTTGGCCACAAGAGCTCTGCTGCAGCCACTCTGTAAGATGATCATCTTGAAGTTTTGCTTCTACTGGGGAGGATTCTTGCATAGTTGAGGTGAGTGTGCGGGTTGTGGGAAATATGCTAATAAGTACCATTTGAAATCACAATGGATCTTGAATTTGGGTCAAAGCAGTGCCATGCTTTCAGGCGAATACCGTTCACTTGGAAAAGTTGAAGCTTGTTTCAAGTTAGGGCCTCCAAGTCGTAGTCTAGTTGGCAAGGGAAGGTGATCTCCAATGGCTGTGTCTCCCCCAGTTGCCTGTTAGATACAAACAGTGGAGAACACTTCATTCCTTCAGAAGCTTTGTGGAAACATAAACTAATAACTTACTCCAATTACGCTCTGAAGTAAGAATGGGTAGAGAAGAAGGCACCAGGCAGGGACTGTGCATTCTTAGGCCTGATCATTTCCCTTTGGACCAAGCTCTGGGCTTGCAAAGCTCTGAAGTCTAGCACACACTGGTTTAGTCTTTCTTGTGTGTCTCCGTTACTAGGCAGCCTGAAGAAATGGAGCAGAGGTGGAGCTGAATACACATACTCATTCTCCCTACAGCATCAGTGAGCCTTTTTGTGGCTTACTTCTAATTGAATACACTAAAATTAACACGTGTGTCTCTGGAAAATGAAAAAAAATAACTCTGAGAGAATAGAACTGACTAGAGAAAAGGTAAGGCCTGCTTAGGAGGACAAGGGTGGTGTAGTAATTTAGGATATGATCAGCCCATTTCTGAGTCTACACCAGGACTGAAAAAAAAAAACAAAACAGAAGACAGGCAACTTTTTTCTACTTTGTTTTTATCTTTCAAGTAAAATGACAGCCTCTATCAGCCAAAGGTCACAGGACTATCATGCAGAGCAAAGGCGACTTGATGCTCAGAGGAGTGATGGGGTGGGGTTGGGGTTGGGGTAGGGGATAGGGAATTGGGGGTGGAGGTGGGGCCCAGCTTGAGTTCTGTTTAAAGGACTATCTCCAATACACTCTCTTTCTTGTTTGTCTTCTGTGTCAGGCATACTTCTCACTTCACCTTACCTTGTTTTCGATCCTTTCAATTTAAAGGAAACACTTAGCTTTCAATGCTGGTCTTGTCTGTAGACCTGTAGGCTTAGATCTTGAATAATATGACCAAAACATTTGACATTTCCACGGTGTTACTAAAAATGGCCTGGAGCAAACAAAATACCGCCTGAAATGTGGTGTGAAGAACAACACTTTAATACTGTTGCCATGTGCTGAGTGCCTAGGACAGAGCTTGGTGAGTAAAGTCTAGACCAACTGGTGAGTGCTTCCACGTGTGAACATCACAGGCTTCAGACAGTTTATACTGCTCGTTCTATATGTCAAAGTTGATAGGTGTTAATATAGGTGAAGAATCACCTGTGGGCTTGCACAGAATTCTGACATTGTTTTTGAATTCTGGGTCTGATGCTTTATTGCTAAAACGAAATACTAAATCATTTCCCAAGTAACAGAGATGTAACAGACCCTATTCACTCACTTGCAAAGGGAATTTTCAATACAAATAAAGTCATACATATTTATACTAGGGTAATTCAAAATAACTTCCTCACATAAGCACTGCTACATTCAAGTAAAATCTTGCCAGCACTTCTGAGTACATTGGTTTAAGAAAAAAAATGCTCTGTGTAGCGTCCGAACTATTTAAAAATCTTGCCAGCTTCCTTAATATACACCAGCTATCTCTCTTTAAATCACTGACAAGGATTTAAAAACTGCTTCATCAGAACAACTGTTACCCTTTCTCCTACTCGAGCTAGAGGCTGGTCTTTTAAAAGGACCATATTTACAACTTCTTTTGAAATCTTGAAACCATTTGGCTGATACATTTTTGCTACATTTTCTTTTCCTGATTTAATTACTGGGGATATTTGCATGAAAACAGGAGGATGGGGACATAGAATTTTTTGTCTTATGAGCTCATAAGTTTTGGATGCCTAGTCCCCACCTGAGAACAGTGCCTGTTTTACTACATTCAGGGAGCCAAGAACTACTTGAAATTGTACGGCAGCAGTTCTCAACGTCCCTGAAGCTGCAACCCTTTTAAATACAGTTCCTCATGCTGTGGTGACCTCTCAACTATAAAATTATTTTCATTGCTTATTTTATAAGTGTAATTTTGCTGCTGTTATGAATCATAATGCAAATATCTGTGTTTTTCAGTAGTCTTAGGCAACTCCCATGGCCCACAAGCTGAGAATCAATGTTGGAAAAGAACTAGTTGAAAGAGAAGTAAAGTTCAGAAATAGGCACTCAGGAAATTAAGAGATTCATGAACCAAACAACAATAAATTTTCTTCTAGGCCATTTTAAACCAGTATATATAGTAACTTGCACTGTTGCTACTGAAAGGGTCAGAACAGCAAGATCTAGGCAGAGCTTGTGAGTCAAAGCTTCCCAAGAAAACCACATTCGGGCAGTGACTGCTGTCCTGTGGGTGTTGGTGTGTCAGCACAGATCTCAGAGAACAACGAAGAAAGCAATTCCAGATCAAGTATGAACTCTAGAGAAGGTCACTGACAATTAAGAAAGAGACAGAGATAGATCCCTCCCATTCCTCAAATTCTATCTACCTGGCCAACATTTGTTATCTTTCACAATCAGATCAGAGAAGACCAATCAGGATGAGCACTGAGTGTCTTAGAGACCCAGTGATTTCTGTGCTCACTGATAAGTTATGGTCTTCTTAGTGGTGTATTCTGCACGTATATTTTACTCTGCTTCAATGGCTTCAACTCTTATCCAGTCCTCTAAGCCTGAACCCTTGCTTGGTTTGTCTTTCTCTTCTCAATAACTATATGTTCTTTCACCTGTGCCCTCAGCTTGTTTCTGATTCTCCTGCTTCTGCCTCTTCAGCATATTCTACCTGTGTGCATTAGCACAACTGGCCTTGCTTGTTTTTTGTTTTTAAATGACACCTATTTAACGTATGCGCACATGTGTTTGTATGTCACAGTGGTGTGTGTGTTTGTGTGTGTCTGCGTGTTTGTGTAAGTCAGAAAACAGCTTACAGGAGTTCTCTCCTTCCCTCATGTGAGTTCCAGGAACTAACCTCAGGTCATCAGGCTTGGTAAAAGTTTAGACATGCAGTTGTGAAAGTGTTCAAATAAAATGCCAACACATTAAAAACAATTTGAAACAGTTTTTCACATACAAATTTTCCTCTAATCTCCACAATAAACTCTTAAGGTTAACAAATTTTCTTACGCACAGTCTTTCTCCCTTACATTTCCCCTCCTTCCTGCAGTGCTAGTGTGGAGCACTGACGTCATCCCCCCCCCCCCCCCCACTGGTGAGCTTGCTGTTACTGCAGCTGCATCTTCAGCACTATGCCTGGGCGTGAAAGAAGGGAATTAAGATTTTCATTGGAAAAAAGACAAAATAATCAAATCTTTTTTGAAATCTCAGACTTTCCTAGGTGTAGCAGAATGAAGTATTGTAACCTGAAAGGTAAGGGTAGGTGTCTACCAGCTTTAGTTGTGCAGGAACACAATCTAGGTTGAAATTGGACTCAGGTCCTCCGACTTAGTTTTGTCCTGTATGCAGGGAAATTGAATATAAACATGCTAGAAAAAAATCTATGTGCCTTTAGGAGAGCAGCTGGACCCAGAAGTTTGTTTGCTTTGTTTCATAACAGGTTTGTCAGTTGTCCTTGGTCCAGGAAGACAAGTCGTAGATTTGACCATTAAAGTAGCCTGATAGCACTGGTTTGTTTGTTTATTTGTTTATATACAGAGGGTATATTATATAGTCATGGGTATCTGGGAACTCACTATGTAGACCAGTCTGGTCTTGAATTCAGAGAACTACCTGCCTCAGCTTCCCAAGTGCCAGGACTCAGGTGTGCACCACCTCACCTAGCTTGAAGTTTAGATCTTAGTAGGTGTGTAGATTAAATGTGTGGATGACCCTGTTGGGAGGTGATGACAATAGAGAGAGCTGGGTGGGTCTAGTGGAAAGTCTTCAGCCCATTGGCGGAGGACTTTGGCCTCCTCAGAGCCTCCAGGACATCGGCTGAAGCTTCCAAAAGTTTGGAGATTTGATGATCTCAGGTGCTTCATTATGGTGATGGAACAGTAAACCAAATAATATCAGTTTTTTTGTTTGCTTAATGTTTGTTGGAACAGGAACAACAAGAGTCACATGGAAATGGATCACTGACAAAACAACTTTGTCAAAAGTCAACATTCTCCATGTCAAGTAAGTGCTGTGAAACTGTCGGAGTAGCTGTTCAAGGACTATTTTTGATCATGTACATCCGAAGAATATATGTAGTTTTATAGTTGCGGTGAGTGAGATGCTGACTGTAATAAAGAGAGCTTCCAGGACTCTACTCACCAATGTCATAAATATTATTTTGAGGGCAGAAAAATTTCACAGAAAGTAAAAGGCTGGCTAAAAACATATCTTAATAAAATTATTTAAAAATTAAGGTGTGAACTGCCAGTGGTACAAAGTAAATTCTGAATATACGACAAAGAAATAACTAAAGGTAAATATATACATTTTCTCTTATTACCCCTAGCAACCAATTATACAGCTTTTAAAAGAGTTTTATTAAAATTTTTAAAATTTATTTTTATATGTATTTTGCCTACATGCATGTCTATGTGCGGTAAGTACCCTTGGAGGCCATAAGAGCATGTTGACACCTGGAAGTAGAAAAATAGATGGTTGTGAGGCATTATGTGGGTGCTGGGAATTGAACCCAGGTCTTCTGGAAGAGTAGCTAGTGCTCTTAATCACAGTTAATTAATCACATAACATTAGTTGGAGCCATCTCCAACTCCAAACGTTTTTTAAAAATACATTTCTGTATATATTTATTAAATATGTTAAGATTAATGTAAGTGAAATGGCTGATGGTACATCAGAGTGGTCAGATTATTTATAAGTTCAAATATATGATAGGGTACTGCATTTCCCAAGCTAATTGGTACTTGGTTTTACCATATATATATATATCCCATATTTACTCAATCAGTGAGTAGTACTCTAATTCCCTACTATGTGAGAAGAACTCCTGGAAAAAAAAAAAAGATCAAGGCTGACTGAATCCATGCAGGTGATCAGAGAAGAGAGACTGTGTGAAGAATGTTACTGGGAGTATAGAAGGCACTCACATTTAGTCTAATAATAGCTACAAATAAAGTGAAGGCAGGAGTAGATCTTCTTAATGCACAGAAGGTCAGCTCTTTGAAATCCATCAACCACAAGTGAAAAGAGTTTAAATCACCTGTGACACATTATAACCCTTTGGGGTTGGATTAAAGGCTTGTCGCTGGGAAAGGAAGGGGAATAAATTCTAGAGTCAGAGTCACCAAGAGAAGGACAATGTTCTAACGATTCTAAAGGGCTTTGTTGAGCAACGCTCTCTAAAGGCTGACCTTGTTACCCAGGTGCTCATTCTGGTGGATGGGTGTCTCTGTACTTATGGAAGGCACACCTGATCGCTTCATATTGCTTTTGTCGTGGTTGCAATATAGTCTCAGTTAACTGCTGGAGTCTCAGGAACGGGATGGAGCCCCCGACACTGGGAAGGAACAGACAGGCCATCCATGGAAGAGCCGCACAGTAGGCTGGGTCCACAGCAGTGTCAATTAGCCAGCAGTGTGGGCTGCTCCTTGGGGAGCCCAGGGTGGTTGGGGCTCCTTAGGAGTCTGGCTTCTGTAGCAACCTCTTCCTCCTTTGTAAGTCCTTCTTCCTGTCACCACTGCTTTTTTATTCATTTGTTTAAATCCCAAGACTGTCTGTTATGCCCAAATATTGAATCAGGCTTCTGTTTGCAGCAAGGGCTATTAATAGTTTTGGATGTGAATTTGGCTTTTGTTGAGAGAATATTATTTTCAGTAATTGTCAGTTCATTAGAATATAAGGAAAGCTTGGAATTTTGCTGAAAAAGTACGATACTTGAATTAAAATAAATATAAACAAAGAACTTCAATATTTTGATTTATTTATAGACTCCACTGTTTGTATATTGAAAGCCAAAAATTAAAAAAAAACTATAAGAAAGCAGAACTATTATACAGAACTATTTGACTTTTCCCTTGGGCATCTTTCCTCTGTTTACAAAATAACTAAATTGCCTTGGTACATATGTTGTTAGGATATAATGTGTTGAGGGTCTTAGAAATGGACCCCATGGCAGTATGCTTATTGCTGATTTTTTGTTCAACTTTATTTTCTGTCTGTTTGAATATAAATTCACTCATATCCGTCTATATTCATATGTGTGTATGCACATGTGTGTGCTTATTTGCTTCTGTTATTTTTCTTCTTCCTTCCTTCCTTTCTTTCTTTCTTTCTTTCTTTCTTTCTTTCTTTCTTTCTTTCTTTCTTTCTTTCTCTCTTTCTTTTTTGACAGTCTCACTGTATATCTCTGGTTGTCCTGAAACTCACTCTGTAGACCAGAATGGTCTCAAACTCACAATAATCTGCCTTCCTTTGCCTCCCAAATTCTGGGATTAAAGGCATGTACTACCATGCCTGGCTCCAGATGTATTTGAACAAAGGCTAAGGTTTTTAAAATTTGATTACTTTTGTTCTTGTACCATTTCAACATGCTTACCCTCACCCCAACATCCTATCACCTCCCCAAACACTACCAGCACATTTCTCCTTGAATCTGTCTATAGCACATGGCCCATCAGTGAGAAGGGGACCCCCCTAGGTACCCCTCATTTCATTTCTGTCTGCTGATGGGTTCATCCTTCTGCAGACCCAGTGCAGACAATCATAGCTGCTGGGAAAGAATGACTCTGGAGGCTATGCTTTTGCCTAGGAGATGACATTTTCCAGCCCTCTTTTCTGTCTTCTGGCTCTTACATCCTTTTCACTCCTTCTCTGATATTCCCTGAGCCTTAGAGGGGATGCTACAAATGTTTTCTTTTCTTTAGAGGTGAGCACTTTCTCTATTACATATTCTTAGCACCCTATGCAGCCATGAACTTCTTTCTATTCATTGCCATTCACTGTCAAGAGATGCTTCTTTGATTAAACGTGAGAATAACTTATGTCTATAGCTATAGATATAAATATCTAGCAGGGAGATTGACACTATGTCCATTTACTGAATGAAAGTATTCAGCAACCCTATCCTATTTACTCCCCATCAATTTTTTTTAAACCAGGTTTACAGCACTAGGCATGGATTGTCCCCTATGGGTCTCAAATCCAATTAGAGAGCAGCTGTTTGCTCCCATAAAAGTAGTGCCACTATTGCATAAGTGGACCAGGCAGTTTTGGTCTAGTAAATTTTTACAATTTACAGCTGATAAGACTATTGATACTCCCCTTCCCAGAAGCATGTATAGAACCACCCAGGACTGTGAAAGCTACCCAGCAGGTAGGAAACTTCCAGATCAGTTTAACTTTATTTTTTTTTCAGATCATGTATCAAAGCTGTGTGATATCTTCAACAACAGAGCCTTGTTGTTTAATTCTGATAGAAAATCAATAAGGACGGTGTCTTAGTTTGGGTTTCTGTTGCTGTCATGACACACCATGACCAAAAGCATGTTGGAGAGGGAAGGACTTCTTTGGCTTCTGTTTTTGTGTTGTATTCCATTGTTGAAGGAAGTCAGGACAGGAACTCAAACAGGACAGGAACCTGGAGACAGGAGCTGATGCAGAGAGCATGAGGGTGTGTGTGTTACCTACTGGCTTACTTCCCATGGCTTGGTCAGCCTGCTGTCTTATAGAACTCAGGACCACTGACCCAGGGATGGCAGCACCCAAAATGGACTGGACTTTCTTCCAACAATCACTGAATAAGAAAATGTCCTACAGGCCTCCCTACAACCCAACTTATGGAGGCATCTCCTCCCTTCCTTCCTTCCTTCCTTCCTTCCTTCCTTCCTTCCTTCCTTCCTTCCTTCCTTCCTTCCTTCTTCCCTCCCTCCCTCCCTCCCTCCCTCCTTCCCTCCCTCCCTCCATCTCTTTCTTTCCTTTGTTTCTTTTTCTTTTCTTTTTCATTTCTCTCTCTCCCTTCCCTCCC